TATATATATATAAATATAAATATAAATATAAATATAAATATAAATATATATATATATGTATATATATAAATGTGTATGTGTATATTGTGAGCTGTGAAGGCAACCCAACGGCCAGCGTGAAATATGGGAAACCCCTTTGCTGAATGTGCGGTGGACAAAACTAAGTAGTGTTGCCATACAAACTGCAATGAAGGTTGGAAGTTAATCACGGACAGGTAAAGAGTATATCCACGACATAACAAACGAAATGCATACACCTCAGCTACATGTCTTAACACTCTATTCATCACATGCTTCGTACTACCAGGGTGAACATTGTATGTATCAGTATCTCGGCAGTCACACAGAGGTATGGGAGCGCGTATACATACAGACACACGTACATATGCGTGTAATCTACATACAGACACACATACACATAACTACACACATACATCACACATACATGCTCATAATACATACAAACACATAAACAGATTCGTACACACATACACACACTCATACGTACACATATAGACACACATACACAGAGATAGGCACATGAGTTGGATCTACACACACACATACACACACACATGCGTATGTATGCATATGTTGGATGTGCAGAAGTATGCTCCTCAATCGCTTTCGGTTAAAACCCTTACCTGTTAGATCGAACGGTACTCAGGATTACGATGTCCTGCTCTGATCCCTGGTACGAATCCACTGAGTACGCGCAGACACCCTTGTACCCGCCTTTGGCTTGGGCGAAAGCTTCGTTCAGAGCCTGGACATGCATGTACATCAAGTAAATATTAGTATACACACATTGAGTTGTGGTATATCAGGGGACAAACATCAAGTAATGTAGCCGTAAATGTATTGAATACAACAAGGTCAGAGAGTAGTTGTACTTGCGTATGGCTGGTCGGCCTTCTTACGCTAAACAGTACATCAACTATGAAAGCTTCGCTTACTACAGACACACCACGATGTCTGCTAGGGGGGTTTGTATGGACAGTGACGTTCACGAGTATGTGTGTGCTTGCGCAGTGATATGTGAAGACAACAGTTAACTACGATGCCATGGAGACACTGGATAGAACACCAATGCGAGGCTACACAGCCAACGCCATAATGCAATACACAACGCACCATATCGGAAAGGCGTAGGACGGCAGGATTTCCATTTGCACTAGAAATACATAGCCTTCTAACTAAACCATATAAGAAGACTATGGAAAATATATGAGCACTAGGAATACATCGATTTAAGAAGACTATGGGTAATACATGATAATGCCTATAGGAAATATAAGAAAATGGCTACCGGATATATATGAAAATGAATATGTGAAATACATGAAAAGGAATATGGGAAATATATGAAAATGGCCAAGGGAAACCCAATACTTTTTAGGACAATTTAAGTAATGGCCGAAATCTCCTTAGCTAATGATGCATTGACAACAATTGATCTTCTGCATAGCAGGCCAACCAACAATAAAACCAGCGACCTAAAAGTCACCGCGGGTACCAACACCACACACCTGCACCTGGCCCTGATAGAAGGTTATCAGAGCGATCTGATTGGCTGGTGCCACTGCAAAGCGTGTTTCTAATTGCTCAACGAGCTTCAAGCACATCTCCACCTCCGCTTGGTTCTTATAACTGCGACCCGTTTTGATTTCGGTGCCCTTTGGACAGTTTATGAACGCGTACGGTCCTAAAAAGCGATGCCAAGGTTGGACCAGATCCTGGAAGATATAATTATTTTGGCGCATAAGGTGGGTGCAAAATACAAATTATATATATA